GAGAAAGGCCGGGTCAGTGTTATGACCTGTGAACCTCTGACCTTCAGTCCAGTCCCAGGGAGCCCAGACAGGGAGCTGGCCAGAGATGGCCACCAGCTTCCTCTCAGACTCTGATCCAGGGCTTTGATTGGCCCACCTCCACATCCATGCCACTGATGAACTGCTGGCATGCGTGAAGAAGCCAGTCCTGCAGATCAAAACTACAGGGTCTCCATGACACAAGGCAACAACAGGATATCTGAGAGGAATCCCAGTGAGGTTCCAGTATTGACAGAGCAGCAGAAGCCAGAGGGAGGCCTTGTACCAGACCAAAGAGTCATTGTAATGAACATTTGCAAAGAAAGAAATGTGAACAAAAGGATATACACACACTGTAGTTTCTACAAGGAGGTTTTTTTTTTCTCTCTCTGTTGGGAGGGGAGGTTGCAAGGGTGGAGGACAGGCACAAGGGGAGGGGAAGATGAGTGGAATTGGGGTGCATGATGTAAAATTCACAAAAAAACAATGAAAAGGTTATTTTTAAAAATCTAACTGTAGACATTTTTCCTAATTAATGATTGATGGGGGACAGCCTAGCTCATTGTCGGTGGTGCCATCCCTGGGCAGGAAGTCCAGAGTTCTGTAAGAAAGCAATCTGAGCAAGCCCAGGGGAGCAAGCCAGTAAGCAGCACTCCTTTGTAGCCTTGACATCAACTCTTACCTTCATGTTCCTGTTCTTCTTGAGTTCCTGTCCTGATTTCCTCTGAACTGTGATGTGGAAGCATAAGCTGAATAAACCCTTTTCTCTACAGGTTGCTTTATACTGTTTCATCATAGCAATAGTAACCCTGAAACCGAAAATGGTACCAGGATAATAAGGTTTGACAGGCCTGACCATGTTTTGGAGAGGACTGTGAAAGGGCTTTAGAACTTTGATCTGAAGAAGTCATTATATATTGAGAGCTCAGTAAGATGTTCTATAGAAAGTCAGAAGGCAGAAATGTTAAGAGCAGTGCAGATGATGAGGGCCTGGCTTGTGAAATCAAAGGGAAGTAAAGACTACTGGGATACTTGTGTGAAGAATCTGTGGTGTTACATCAGCTGGGGCTGCAGAGTTAGTCCTGGTTAGCAAGAGACCAGCACCTTGTGTCACTGAGACTACTGATGCTGGTTAACTGGAACTGAAAAATAAATGGCGATTAAGAGACCAGCATCATGGAGGAGAAATTTTCTGAGATGTGTTTCCTGAGAGGACACAGGTGTGCTCCAGATGTGGCTAAGACTGTACCTTACTATGGTAACCAAAGTTGGCAGTGTAAGAGTCAACCAGATGGTACTAGCTTTGAAAGCATGAAGGGTTCATGGAGAACAGCTGACGCTTGGCACTGAGAGAGAACAGGACAGCCCTTGGAAAAGGTGCAACCTCAGTGGCAGTTGAAGGCCCAGGATTAAAGGAGTCATGCAAAAAATTTGAGGCTTGGCAACAAGAAGAAAGCCCAAAGAGGCTATCGGCAAAATACAGCCCAGTTGCAGCAGAAGACCCCAGCATTTTGGAGATGTCAGTACCACGGCATGACCACCAAGAACAGCATCAGTGGTGAAGTAGAGCCATGCAGAGTCTAGAAGGCAAGCTATATGTCCTGGAGAGAAGTGACCCAAGCCTATAGAGGAGAGCAGAAGATCGAGAGTGGATCCCAGACATTAGACATTGACTCATTTACACAGTTGGAGTTTAGTTTTTCTTTGATCTGATTGTGACTGTACCCTGGTTCTCCCCTCGCAAACTAACAAAGTATTTAATTTATTTTTGATTTCACAGGAGCCCACAGTTGAGAGACTGACTATTTAAAGAGATTTCTGCTTTTGAATAGCCTGAATTTCAGATTTTTAAATAGACTGAATTTTAATGCATTTGAATTTGTAAAGACTGTGGGAATTTTAAAGTTACTTATAGAATCTGACCAGGGAAGAGGATAGGCTAATTCCAGATTGTCACCTCTCCCTCAGCTCCTCCAAATCCAATCCCCCAGTTTCATTCCTCCATTTGCAACAGACCACCTACTGAGGATTCCCTTGCCTCTTTGTCTCCATCTTCAGTGGATCACACAAATCTTCCCTTCTAAACTTCCTTCCCCCATCAACTCATTGCTTCGCCCCAGCCCCCAACTCCAGCAGGAACTCCCTGGAAACTCACATTCTACACTGAAGAGGAAAACAAGTAGGTCAACTGCAGATCTTCACCTTTCACTCCAAGTCCACTCCCCCATTCTCATCCCCAAGTCTGTAGCAGACCTTCTGCTATGGGCTGTCCACACTCTCTTCCCCAATTCCCAGGGTCTAACTAAGCAGATCCTGGTAGAACACCTAAAGAAGTTAACTAAATCCAAGAAAACACAGGGAATAAATAATTCAAGAGGAGCAAAATCAAAAGGGAGATGAGTGTGTGGGTTCACAATAGCACACACCCCTCACCACCAACAACAAAAACAACAAAATAACAAGATCTGACAATCACTGGTATGGTTTGAATGAGAATGGCACCCATAGGCTCATAGATTTATATACTTGGTCAACAGGGAGTGGCACTATTTGAAATGATTAGGAAGCCAAGCTTTGCTGCAGAAAGTGTTTTACTCCAGATGGGCAGATGGGCTTTGAGGTTTCAAAGTCCACTCCAAGACCAAAGTCTCTCTTCCTGCTGCCTTCAGATCTAGATGTAGACCTCTCAGCTACCTCTCCAACACCATATCTGTCTGCATGCCACCATGCTTCCCACTTTGACAATAATGAACTAAACCTCTGAACTATAAGCCAGACCCAGTTAAATGCTTTCTTTTATAAATGCCATGGTCATGGTGTCTCTTCTTAGCAATAGAACACTAAAACTCTTATCAATGGTATCTCTCAACATCATTGGTCTCAATTCCTCAATAAAAAGACACAAACGAAAAGAAGATTTAGTAAACTCAATAAAAAGGTGATGGTGATGATAGTGATGACTATGGTGATGGTGGTAAAAATGACAGTGATGGAGAGAAAACCAGGAGGACAGCAGTGAGGAGGAAATAATCATGAGCTGGCTTCCATTTATTCCTCTGCCTAACGTCAGTGCTATACTTTGAGTTAACATGAGTCAAACATATCATGGCCTCTTAAAAGATTGTAAGTACTGTTTCTATATCTACCTACAATTTACCCTTCCAAGATTTTTTTGAGCATTATAAATTAATAGCCAGTTGCCATCAATGCATTTTTTTCCTGTGATGTCACTTCATCATCCTCAACCTTGTGAAAGGTTTCATAAATGTTAATTTTCTCTCTGTAATAGCTGATCCCTATGGTCAAAATCACCACAGATGTGTAAGGAAGCATCTTAAGTCTCATTTCAGGCATCTTGAATTGAGGTCTTCTGATCGGGTTCTTTGTTATGAAATGTCAGATGACTCTTCCCACTAACTCATAATCAACTAATATATATTAAAAATGTCATTTTTAATTTTAAAATCTTAGACTCCAGGGGAAGATGGACAAAGTATCTCATTTTGGAGAAATAACTGAACATTTCCTATCCTAGATATGGTTACTTCTGCTCTGATGAAACACCATGACCAAAAGCAAATTGGGAATAAAAAGATTAATATGGCTTTCACTTCCATATCACTGTTCATCACTAGAGGAAGTCGAAGTCAGGACAGGAAGTCAAGCAAGCCAGGAACTTGAAGGCAGGAGCTGATGTAGAGGCCATAAAGGAGTGTTGCTTATTGGTTTGCTCCTCATAGCTTGCTCAGTCTGCTTTCTTACAGAATTCAGGACCATGAGCCCAAGGACATTCCCACCGACAATGGGCTGGGCCTTTCCACATCAATCACTAATTCTAAAAATAAATGCCCTACCGACTTTCCTACATCCCTATCTTATGAAGATATTTTCTCAATTGGAGACTCCCTCCTCTCTGATGACACTAGATTGTGTCAAGTTGACATAAAACTAGCCAGCACAGCTGACCCCTTGTCAGCTTAACACACAAATACATCACAGTTCAATTAGAACTATTTCTTTCTTACTAATCCCCAACATGGCACATTAAGATTAATATCAGAATATAAAACAAATAACTTTAATTCTTTGGTATTGTATTTTTTCCCCTTCATTGAAGAGAAATTAATATTTGTCCAAACTACCACACAAGGGTGTCACAAACAGAACCCCAACTGATAGGGGGAAAATTAAATGTTCCAAAACTGCACTCTCGGGGAAGGTAAGGGTCAAATCAAGACCAACAAAAAGACATATTTTCAATTGTTTTCAGGGCTCGTAGACATTAGAAATTACTTAATGAGCACAAACTCTTGCCAAGCACTGTGCTCAGGATTCTCAATAAAGCTAGGAATGAGAAACTAGCTCCTCTCTTGAAGATATGCCAAGTCTGTGGGTCCTGTTTATTTGAATCAACAGAGAATGAAAATACAACATGTGTTCATCTACAGGTACCAAAGGCATATTGCAACATTAATTTGGGTACTTGTGGCAGGTGGACTTCATAGTGGAAGTGGATTCAATGAATCCCTGGAGTATCTTTTTACAGTACAATTGCCACTAGAGATCACTGGGAAGTGTTGCTTGAAGTTTTCATTCTCTCCTTTCCTTGAGTCTGGAATGATTTATCACAGGCAGGAAACGCTGGATACCAAATTAGTATGGCTCTACATGACTACTAAAGAGGGAAAAATTCATGCAAGAGTACCTAGAGTAGCTATTCAGATAGCAGAAATGATTATACTGGGGACTGGATGGCCAAAGCAACCTCAAAGAACAGCAGACTGGAACCTTGATTCCACCTGCTGACATCTTGGGACTGATCCATCAATGGGAGGGGTGTTGCACGACATTCTTAAAGTCTGTTTGAACAGTTATAAATCATACCAGTGTTGTGGAGGACTGCTCAAAAGGGCACAGAGAGAAAGCCAGAGGGAAAGAAAGGCATGTCTCTGCTGCTTCTGCTGTCATTTGAACAGTACCAGCAGCCAGGGCTAATTACTTCTTGCAGGGAGGCACCAGCAAAAAGATGAGTTTTTTTTTTTCAACAAGAGCCTTGCTGATGGTTTTCTCTTGTTCAAGCCCAGACAAGATAAGCAATCATCTGTTAAAACAAAACAGAGAAAGTAAAACGATCTTCAATTATAGAACTTTTTCATTAACATACAAATGCCTTCAAGAGACGGGGGGGGGAGGTGGAGGGGAGGATCATCATAGGATTAGAAGAGGCAACTCACAAAGAAAGCAGTCAAGGGAAGAATGGAAGGAGATTCTCATTCAGAAGCCAGGGCTGGTGGAACTGTTCCACATTTGGTCAGAAAGGAAAAAAAAAAAAAAAAAAAAAAAAGCTGCTGGTCTGAGCCACTAGAATACCTTGTGAAGCTTTCTACGGGGCTTGGGCCAGTAGCTTCCATCTTTTATGCAGTGCAAAGACATATGTGAAATAATGTGTTTTACTTCTGTTGCAGTAACCACCGATGGCTCCACAAGCAGATGAGTCCAGGACCAACAATGGAACTTCAAAATAGATGAAGTGGGAGAAAAGGAAGAGAGAGGAAAAGTGAGAGAGTCTGTTTGGGTTTTTTAAGAACTTAATCTCTCAGATGTTAGACCATTATGTCTTCTGTGTCACACAGTCCAGACCTGGTACAATATGTCTTTGTGGGAGTCTGTAAGGGTATAATTACCAAACACCAGGTATCAGGGGTTGCAGGGGCCTGTTCTCTACCTTATGAGCAGTCAGCAAATGAATACTGGCTGTTGAGAAAAAGTTCGCTTAGCTAAAGAGGGTTTTGGTGTAGGTGACTCAAGTCCCAGAGCTCATCAGAACCTATACAGTGTCCTTCTCAACCCTGCCCCACTCCCAGTACTAGTTTCCTGGTAGAATAGAGAAACCTTTATGCTTCTGGCAGCACCCCAACCACAGAAACTGCCTTCTTACAGTCTTCCAATAAATATGCACATTTTTACAAATGATTTTAGAGTCTAAGTGGAGCTCTACACTCCTCCTTCCCTCTATTAGACCCTTCTAGCTTTCCCATATAACTAACAGAAGATGAAATGAGTCAACAGTGGTTTTTCATTTTGGTTTGGTTGGTTTCATTCAGAGGTAAAGCTACCCTAAAGAGAAGAGTAGATTCTGCAGCCCCAAATCCACCCAAACTGAAGAGACTGGCTCAGACCTTAGCTCAGCAAGTATGTGTCCCTGGGTATTGGCTTTGGGTGAAAGACAGCAGCAATGAGAAGACAACCATAGGTGTTTCCTGGCAGGAAGAGTATGGATCCCAGGAACACATAAGTTTCTATGATGGTCACATCCAGGGATCAGAGCTAAAGAACATCAAACAGCAGAGAAGTGCCCTATCAAATAGGCTGGACCTCAGGCCAGACATCTAGCAAATTCATCAAGTTCCAAGTGTAATAGTCCACAGGTACTAAGATGTAGACAAATGTAGGCACTGTCATGTTCTAGGCAACCAAGTAATTGTTGAGTCCACATACTCTGCACATGTCAGGGTGAGCACTAACCTCGGGTTGGAAAGGACAGGCCTTCAAGAGAGGCTACCTGGCAACTCTCTCCTCCTGAGACCGCACATAGGCTTCACTGGGCATTAGCTTCCACTGGCAATTACATTTAATCTGTCATTGAAGACTTACAAACACCAGCAGAAGTGATGCTTTCACATTTACCAGGAAAGGAGGATGCCACTGCCAGCAGGAGGATGCACCCTGTCACTACAAAGCATGAGCTCCAAGGACTGCATGCTCTGCTTCTCTTTCTTTCCTTTTCCAATTCTTTTCTTCTGGCTTTTTTCCCCCAATTTTGGTCATGATGATTGTTATTTTTCCCCTTTGCTTATCTCCCTCAGTCTCTCTACATCCCCACTTGCCTCTTTCAGGAACTTTTTCTACCTCTTCCCTCAGTTCTGCATCACTCTTTCAGCTCTGCTTTTTCATAACCTGCTAACCTCTCTAGTCTTCATGCCCTTCCTGCATGACTCTGTCCTCCAGATTTTTAAGCTAGCAAAGAAGTAGAAAGAAAAATCTGTAGTTATCTAGTAGTGTTGTTTCAACTTGCCAGACTCCTCAAACTTAAACCCAATGTCCACATTTTCTTCTCCTGGATGATTACTTCTCATGGGGCCACAACTACATACACTCAGCTTGAAACCCATTCAGAACATTATTTGATGGGCCATTGATAGAGGATGTAAGGCTGCTAGTGTGTGTCTGATTATGCACCAATATGGAAGTATGAAGAATTCAATACACCGATCTCTGGCTTCTAATGCTGCTTTTGTTATACTCCCAAGCTGGATAACTTTGAGGACATTGCATTTCTTCAGTTCTCTATTCTGTATAATGTGTAGTGTAAATATATACAGGTAAGGGGCCCAGACAAATGATGTAGTATTGTACCCATTATAATATTTAAAACATTCTCCCAAATGACCACTCTCTTTAGATGCACTATTTTCCTTTACTTTATTTACTAACAAATTAGAAGACCTATGAAAGATCACAGCCATGATTTGACTATGATACCATCTTCTTTTTACATCCTAAGAATTTCAGAAACCCTACACTTCCAGCTAAGAAGATCTCAACATAAATCCATCACCCTTACAACAGGTGTCTAAAGCCTATGACAGCAAGGTGCAGAGGTAGCCTCTGTAGCTCTTTCTTTCACTCAGTGTTATCGAGACTTCATGGAACACTACCTGTAGATGCCTTTATTTGGGCCCCAAAGACAGTACCTATTACCATTTCTTGGAAGATAGGATAGATAAGAAGCATAGCATTACTCCAGAGCGCTTATCTTAGTTGTCGTCATAATAGCTGTCAGTGACAATGACTGACGTGCAGGGCTCTAAGTTATTAAGAAGGGGTAGATCCGGAAATCTGAACACTTAAAGAAGCTGAGCTAGGAGGAGGACTCTGGGGAAGATGATCAATCCTTATTCAGAAAGACAAACAGAACGGACATTGGAAGAAGGAGAAAACAGGAAACAGGACAGGAGCCTACCACAGAGGGCCTTTGATACCTAGCAGTGTATCAAAGCAGATACTGAGACTCATAACCAAACTATGGGCAGAGTGCAGGGAATCTAAGGAAAGAAGGGGGAGTTAGTAAGACCTGGAGAGGACAGGAGCTCCACAAGGAGATCAACAGAACCAAAATATCTGGGCACAGGGATCTTTTCTGAGACTGATATTCCAACCAAGGACCACTCATGGATATAACCTAGAACCTCTGCATAGATGTAGCCCATGGCAGCTCAGTATCCAAGTGGGTTCCCTAGTGGGGGAACAAGGATTGTCTCTGACATGAACTGAGTGGCTAGCTCTTTGATCACCTCCCCCTGATGGGGGAGCAGCCTTGCCAGGCCACAGAGGAGGACAGTGCAGCCCGTTCTGATGAGACCTGATAAGCTAGGGTCAGATGGAAGGGGAGGAGGACCTCCTATATCTGTAGACTTGGAGAGGGGCATGGGAGGAGATGAGGGAGGGAGGGAGGGTGAGATTGGGAGGGAATGAGGGACGGGCTATATCTGGGATACAAAGTGAATAAACTGTAATTAATATAAAAAATAAACATTTTAATTAAAAAAATAAGGTAGGATAGATAAAGAAAAAAAAGGAAACAAACAAACAAAAAAAAGATGTCAGGTTACTTAGTTCTGTGCACAGACCAGCACTAACAGAATAACATCAGCATTTGCTTTTCTACTCAGATCCAGCAAACTGTATCAGTTGTATTTTTTCAGGAGAAAACCTACAGGGCTCATACCCTTCCTGTGGGAATCCTCCTGTTTTTCCAGAAGACACAAACAGAGCCCTGCGATGTTGAAGATTGCGTATAAGAGAAATGTTCTATTTTAAGCCATGTAACTCCCACTGCTCCCTGGGACTATTGGCTGAGTTGTTTTAAGCTACTTCTGGGGGTGAAAAAAGCAGCCAATCAAGATGAAAACATCATATTTCTTCCTACAAATTAACAAACTTTAGGTAAGTTAGAAACTGGCCTTTTGAAGGTTTCCGAGAATATATACCTGCATCCACAGCAAAGGAAGAAAAATGGAGCCAGCTTCTTCTCTTGTTCTTTCACTTCCAAAACTGCCTGTTTCTTTAGATTGTTTTTCTTTTTTGTTTTCATGTAAGAAATAAAATCATTAGCCACCCTCAAGCTCTCCCAGGACCACATTAATTAATCTGATTTGGGACACTTGCCTTCTGTTAATAGTGGTAAGCTGGGAGCCAGCGTCAAGCTCCTGAAATTGAAACCCATGCCATTTGCCTCTCACGCAAAGCCTCAAGGCTCACTGGTGAAATTGGGGACCTCGACTGGCCTTGTTCTTTTAGCCAGGCAATTAATGATGTAGTGAGAAAGCAATGCTTGTTTGTTTCTGACAGAGCCACCAACATTATTAATCTTGTCCAACCCGCTGGGTTAAGGCACTTTTCCACAGGGTCTGTGGGGCAAGAACTGAGGGGAAGCTTGCCAGCAAACTATTGTCTCTAAGTAGAAAAATTCTGGCTGGTTATTTGCATTAAAAGACCAAATTCTCCTGGTATGTGTGTAGAACTTTGTAATTTACACACTGCTTCTTAGAAGTTATCTCAGTTAACAAACACTACTCAATATCTCTCGGTGTCTTTCTCCTACCAAAACAAAACCAATACGTATTACCAGCAAATATGAAATGTGACTTTATATAAAATTGGTTAAATTCCAAACTTCTCTTAGCTAGATTTTTTTCATCTTGGTCTGTCCATCTTCTTTGAAATTTCTGAAACAGTAGTACTGCTTGCAGAAAACACACACACACACACACACACACACACACAGCACTAATCTTCAATATTAGCTTTTAGACATGTCACGATTCCCACTTTAGGTGCCTTGAATTCTCTATTGTTTAAGATCTTTAATCAATTCTCTTGCATACTTGTTAATAAACATAGGTGGTTTGTGATTTGTGGTGATAGCATGCCATTGAATGGATAACTCATAATTTAGCTATCTATCCATTTTCCTCCTTTGAGAATTACAACAGTAAAGTAAATATGCATGTACATGTCACTTGTTTATTTCCACCAGAG